CTATGTCCATTTCAAGATTTGAGAGAATGGCTGCAAGAGTGAGTACTGATAGACCAGAACTAAGAAGTAACATTTCTCGATAACCTAATTCGGTATTTGGTTTGAACCCAAAAATGAAGGCATAATTGACACGATAACGCTTCCAAAAGTAGATGTTTCCGGCATACATTAACATATGTAACATGAGGAAGCCAAATACACTGTATAATGGAAATACATTAGTCATGTATTGATCGCGCCCTTCACTGTTGAGAAGGTCTCTAGCATGTATCATTAAGATTATTGCAATGATAAATGCTACCGAGTATCCCAAAAAGCAACCTGTATGAGATATATTATAGCATCAGAAGATTTGCGACACATTTGTGACGGATTTTTTCATTGGAGACAAATATAAACAGATTCTCCCTACAAAGATAATATTGTCCACAACGTACCCGTAAAAAATGTTACTCTATGCTTGTCCGTTTTAGCTTTTGGGCGTAAAGTTTTCATTCCTAGACTACGGTTTCCATTGCAGAAGTGTTCTATATAAACAGATTCAACACTCTCCATGAGCTTAGAAACCTACATAATTAAACACCATAAAAATGACTTATTTTATCATTTTCTAATTTGAAAAACAACTAAATGTAAAGTTATTGATAGATACCTCATCAGATTGTCTTAAGTACGATTTCTCAACCATCCCTAAATAATCCTTTGACGCGTTTCTTGATGTGATCTATATGCAATAGAACGGTTAGATGTTGAATGCATATATGCGTACATGTAGAAATAACTATGGAAATTGGAAAATCAAAAATTTTAGACCTTATCGTACTTCTTCATGATCTTGGAGAAAGCCAATTGGTTCAAGAAGCTGTATAATTAAAGAGAGTTACAAAAAAAAGAAAGAACAGCTTAGCGACACTTTAACTTGTAAAAATGCTTGAAAAAGCGTCAGCTAAGATTAAGAGAGCAACACTAATATGCAAACAAATAGTTTGAGGATTATCCATATTGCTTACGAGTAGCTTTTCAGTTGGCGAAGCTTTTGGTGGAACTCGATAAAAGCCTGCTTCAACTTTTGTTCTGCATTTCTGAGTTCCTTTTTACTAAATGAGAAGCTTAATTTTGAACTACTGAAAGCATTTTTCAACGATGACCTTGGTGTTTCTGGCATAACATTGATCTTTACATGATTTAGAACATCTAAAGAAACCATCTCGTGTTCTTTGTCCATTCTACCACTTCCTATTTTACGTTTGCCATTTCCTTCCCCATGCAATTTTGTTTCTTGAATCAGATCTGACAGAAAACGTCAAAAATTTACTTTAGCGTCAAAATAATAACCGTCACTAAAACATAACTATAGTGTCGCAAATAACCTGTGATTTGTTCATTGGCGAATCGAGAGGAAAATATAGGAGATGAACTGCAGAAAAGCGGATCTTCAACTTTGATTCGAAGAGCAATAAGAGCGTTCATTTGCTTACTCAATTCTTCAGCTTCGATCACCATCTCCCCTACCTTTCCCTTATAGAAATCGATCACTTTGTTGAACTCATCATCAAGTTTTCTGAAAAACCCTAGTTCAGACTCTCCGGCGTCCTGCGATGACCGGAGGAAAACAGTCCGGTAGTTCTCCTCCGATTGCTGCATTGCACTTACCAGAATCACTTCATCCTCTTTATCCTTGTTATTAGAATTGCCATTTGTTAGTCCACCGAAGGCTTTGTGAAGAGACACCTTTCTCTTCCGTGATGAACCTTTTGATGGCAGTGGTGGGTTTGCCTGATACCCCGGGGTTGACTCGTTTAGCTGCAGTCGCCGGAAAATCAAGATTTCTTTAATGAGAATCTTGAGGTGGTTGTAGTTCATGTATGCTGCCTGCCATTCCGGCACCATTTGTGAAGCAAATTCCTTCCCAAACTTCATTTTTCAGGTTGTTTAACTGGTAAAGATCGATGCAATGATCAAGTAGAGCTTATATAAACATTGGTAGCATTGAAAGATAATATTTATTAAGGTAGAACATAGAGACAAATATGTCCACGCAAATGAAAAAACAAAATTGAAGATCTCACTTGGTAGAACCGCCGTCCAGTCACATTCGAAGTCAACACCTTGGGCTGGCGGCATCTCGCAGTCATCCGCCCCTTCCAGTGCAGCTTCTTCAATGGCGTTTCCGACCTCCGCCCCTTCCAGTGCAGCAAAACGGCGGTGACAGGGCTCCTTTTCTCCTCTCCGATGACTGTTTTCATCGAAGATCAACAGTCTTTTCATGGTTCTTCGTGCTTGATGCCAAGCAAATTTCTCGTCGAATCCAAACAAATGACCGAATCCTTGGTATAACTACTTTTTAAATTTATTTAAGTATTAAGTCCAAACGAAGGTATCACCTGCTTTTAAACAATATCCATTAAATTGACAATTATGTTCTAAGAAGTGGCTTAACACTTTTATCTTTTCGATAATGGATCGTTGGGATTTTGAAGACCGCATATAAGCATGTAGATTATCCCGTTAATCACGAGGTAATGTTTATTATTATTTTTTACTCAAAGCTTACAATGTTTTGCGAAACGACACCGTTATAAGGTTTAGTTCGTTGAGGGTCGTTAATTTTGGACAAGGGGAATTAAGGAAACAAATGATCCGAGTTTGGAGAGAGCTTTTTGCCAAATCTAGGGTTCTTATTTTTAATTTACCCCCATAATCATACCAACAATGTGGAGATCGAGAAACATAGCGACATTGTTTGTGGTGGTGATATTAGGATTAGCTTCAACACCAATAATCGTAAAGGGGATGAGATTCGATTTGAAAACAGGAGCCACGAAATGCATAACGGAGGACATCAAAATCAATGCAATGACCGTCGGCAAGTATAGCGTCGTCAAGCGTGTCCAAGGTTTCTCTTTGCCTGAATCGGATCGCGTCACTGTCAGGGTCAGTTCCCCACATCATTTTGTTTTTCAAGCGTGCATTGATTCTTAGCTTCGATCAATTTCTCCATGGAAACTAATTAAACCGGGATTAGTAAGCAATTCAGGATTCTAGCTTCTTTATTCTCTTAGCAATTCAGCCAAGAATGCATGTTTGCTTCTTTTAGGGTTTTAAATCAGCTTTTATCTATGTGAGCTTCATCATTTTTTGCTTCAACTGTAATGCAAACAAACTAGCGACCATTGCATAAACAGAGTAATTTTGGACATAACCGCATAGCTGATACTTGTAAATGTATTTGACTATTTGTATGTGAGCTTCGACCTGTATGCTTAACAGTGAGTTAACAGTATGATATTTCAACAAGAGAATGCAATGGCTATGGAAGAAGGAAAATTTTGGAACATTCTGTTGACAATATTATTGTGAAATATGGGATTAGTGTTTAAGGGTTATTGTGTGATATGATATGTGTATATAATATAGGTAACTTCACCGCTTGGGAACAATTATCACTATGCAGATCGAAGAGATTCTGGTAATTTTGCATTCACTGCTGGTGAGGCTGGTGATTACATGGCCTGTTTTTGGGCTGCTAAACAATCTCCACAGAAGACACTGTCAATTGATTTCGAGTGGAAATCAGGCCTGGCTGCAAAAGACTGGTCTAAAGTGGCTAAAAAAGGCCAGGTTGAAGTAAGTTATTCTTCCATTTCTTTCTATTGTCCTTCATAAAAACACAATTTTACAAAAATATTCAATGTTTTGAATGTGACAACCATCGTCAATACAATAATGCTTACTATCACTATTTTGTGCAAAACATAGCATGCTTACTTTCCCAACAAAGAATTAAGTTTTGTAACAGAAAGTAACCATCGTAATATCAAATTTTAGATGTGGAGAAATGGCTTCATTCATGTTACTAGTTATATGAAGAGAAACATCATAATAACAAATTTAGATATGAAGAGAAGTGGCTTCATATATGTTGACATGTAGCTGTTTGTGACAGATGATGGAACTTGAGTTGAAGAAACTGTATGATTCAGTCACCACTGTCCACGAGGAGATGTACAATCTTCGAGAGAGGTAAACACTAAACATTAAACATCACAACTCACCTTACCTTATTTTTTGTTTCTCCAAAAAGTAAAAACGTAAGGTGAACATGCTTGTGGTGTTGTTTATATTATGTAGGGAGGAAACGATGCAACATCTAATTCGATCAACTAATTCCAAGATGGCAACTTTCAGCTTTTGCTCCCTTGTTGTTTGCTTATCAGTTGCTGCCCTGCAGCTATGGCATTTGAAGTCGTTTTTTCAGAGGAAGAAGCTCATTTAATTTACTTACGTTTTCCTCCCTTTTTTTTTTTTCTTATCATATCATTCATTATATTCATTACTTTTCTTCTCTTCTTTTATAATGTTTACTTTACAAAACTGTGATACCAGCTCTCCAAATTCAGAAACCTCTGTAAATTATCACAAACTGAAATTAACTGTAATCATCTCACATCTATGATTCCTTCCTTCGTAGATGGATTTTTTTCTTTTAACAAAAACTTATATATATTTGACACTGGTGTTTTATGGGCGTCAACAATGATTGTACCATTGTATATGTCACACACCCCATTTTGCTGAATTCATCACATTATTAGTGTCAAATATCTTAAATGTTTTACTTGCAAAATCTTTGCAACATTTCAACCTGCATACAAAAAAACCAGTACCTGAATAGATTCGTGAATCTTAAACTCATCACATATAAGAAAGTGCAAAATTTTGAGTTTGTCAAAGAAAACCAAGAATACAGCAAGATTGCATATTATGTGATTCATATTAGAAGATTCAAGGTGCTGAAATCATACTTTCAAAGATCCAAAAGCTTAAAAGCTTGGGACTTTTATATTAGTAAAAACCAAACGAAACAATACCAAACCACACACTCGAACACATTGCAAACATAAAGAAACATCAAACACAGAAAACAGTTGTTTATGATGCCCACCATTTTATTCATAATATTGGTAGTAGCTTACGAACCCAACAAACCAAACTTCACTTCAATCTTCATAATGCTTGCGGTGGTGCCTATACTTCTTCTCCTCATCATCATCTTCATCATCGCTTCTCCGACCATAACTAGGTTTAGGGTATTCTTCCTCAGTGTTCCTGCCATACCCGGATCCATACTCAGAAACAGGCTCCTCCTGCCTACGCCCATATCCAGATTCATACTCCGGAGTTGGCTCCTCCTGCCTCCGGCCATACCCAGATCCGTACTCCGAAGTTGGCTCCTCCTGCCTCCGTCCATACCCAGATCCGTACTCAGAAGTCGGCTCCTCCTGCTTCCGGCCATAACCAGATCCGTACTCAGATGAGGGCTCCTCCTGCCTCCGACCATAACCAGATCCATATTCAGAAGTAGGTTCCTCTTGTCTCCGACCATAACCAGATCCATATTCTGGAGTAGGTTCCTCCTGTCTACGACCGTAACCAGATTCATATTCAGGAGTAGGTTCCTCTTGTCTCCGACCATAACCAGATCCATATTCTGGAGTAGGTTCCTCCTGTCTCCGACCGTAACCAGATTCATATTCAGAAGTAGGTTCCTCTTGCCTCCGACCATAACCAGATCCGTATTCAGAAGTAGGCTCCTCCTGCCTCCGCCCATAACCAGATCCGTACTCAGAGGGCTCTTCGGGACGCCGGCCATACCCAGATCCGTATTCAGAAGAAGGCTCTTCAGGTTTCCGTCCATAGCCAGATCCATACTCGGAAGTAGGCTCCTCAGGCCTACCATAACCAGATTCACCACCGTATTGAGGGGTCACAGCAGCAGGGGTATGGCCAGGGCGGGGCTTGCGACGAGCATAGTTCTTGTATTCATTGTCAAGGGCTTCTTCGCCGTAGGCACTTGGCTCGGCGTAGGATGAATAGTTGGATCTTTCATAGTCGAAGCCGCCGGAGGAAGTTGAGGTGGGAGCGTAGCAAGTTTCCTCAGATGGAGGGACAGGACGGCCATAGGTGAGGTGGATGTCGTAGCCTCCTCCGTACGGAGTTGAATCGTAGTCATCAAAGTCATCGACATCGTCGCCGGATTCGTAGTGGTGACCTTTCGGGTAGTAAGACATGATTGGTGGTAAGCGCTTTTGGGGGATTTCGATTTTTCCGTGATCAGATCCAGATCACGATCGACGCTTTTATCAGTGAAATGTAATAAAAGTCAGCATACAATAATTGATATTTTATTTTAGGGTTTTTTCCATATAAAAAAACTTTTTTTTAAACCTAAAACTTTTAGTTTTTCGAAAAAAACTCAAAGTGTGTTATTTTAAACCCTAACAGGTTACCAACCAACAGGTAAACTAACTGTTTTTTTTTTCATAAAAGACCCTATATTTTATATTTTTTTTCCGGTTTAGACTTAAAATAAATTTTTTTGCATATTAATCTCAACTACTACTGTTTTTGCTTTATCAACTTGTCTCCATGAAATGTTATGTGCTCATTAAAAGTCGTATTTCATTGGATTTGAATGATCATTTCGATTCTCTGTTGGAGTTATGTCATTTGTTTAAAAAATTTACAGTTCGAAGAATCAAGAATTCGAACTCTCCTTGCTATGGTCCTAAGTAACATCTATGAACTAGATTTATACATTTCTCATTAACTAGATATATTGGGGATTAAGACTCAATAATAAAATATTTAAAAATGCATCATTTATAACAACTTTCTAGAAAACATTTATCGATGAAGTAGTGACGTTGTTAATGTAATATAATTTAATTAAAACTTCATTTTAAATAAATTAGATGAGCTAAGAATAGAAATTAAAGAATAAAGAGAGTATCATTTCATAAACATCATGATATGATCAAAACAAGTAAATCACCTACACTCTTTGAGTGAGTGCCGATATAAGAAAGAGAGAAAATGATGACTTAATTTCCAAAATCTTTTATTAACAAAACTAGTCTACCTCTCTAATAAAAGAATCATTTATAGCAACATATCACTTTTCTAAACCCATTAAATGCCACATGTCACGCCCTTTTTTTGGTGCTTTTTTTTTGCGCATATGTGAACAAAAGTCTTTTAACATCTTCAGACATCTTTTAACCTAAAAAAAACGCATATCTTTTTTTATTTTAATGTATATTTATTCCAACTTTAATAATGATAATAAATTTTAAAAAAAAAAAGTTACAATACGTTAAAAAAAAGGTTCGACAACACAAACATAACATTTTGATAAATTTATAAATAAAGATTTATTACAATAATGATCGTTGAATTATTTATATAAATATGAATATATATATATATATATATATATATATATATATATATATATATATATATATATTCTTATAATTTGTGTGCCAAAATTTAAAAAACATTATTTAATGCGATATCATCAATTTCTTGAAAAAATATTTATAGTACGTTTTTATTGATTTAATTGAAAAAAAAATATTTCCATCCATTTATGCATTAATTTTTTGATATTTAATTACAATGTTTAGGTATAACTTTGCGACAAAAATTGTTGGTTTTTATCAAATATATACGTTAATTCATACCATTTTATTTTCACTTTTTATACAATAATACATAAAAGTTGATCTAGATTTGTTAATTATTTATAACAAAATCAAAAAAATATTAAAAAAATCACTTTGAAGTTAAAAAAATTAGTTTATTTAAATTTTAGTTTATTTTAATAGTCTGCAAATATTAAAAAAAACAAACAATCTTTTATTTTCTGACTACAGACGTTTAATCCATCTCTTCTACTGCAAATGTAATTTGCAGATATAATCCGCAAACTGCAAACATTTTGCCCCAAAATAAATAAACAGCTCCAGTAAAACCATGCATAAGCACATTTGGTCTGTATGTGTTTGGTTGTTTGCGGCCAAAATATCCGGTACCATGCAAGAGACGTTTGGATTGCTTAATGTGCAACTTTTATGTGACTACTAACCAAGCCTAAATGTATGGGAAATCAAGAAAAGAAACTTTTGACATGATTTTTTATGTTAATTTATGTTAATCAATGAATTTTTTATATTTACTTGTTAAGTATTCCTAACTCGTTGTAACACCAAAATAAATAAATAAAATAATCATAAATATATGTTAATTTTGAGTATGTGCTTACAAAATGTTTTGGGCACAAATGCTGCGAATTCAGAACACGTATTCGAAAGGCAACAAATTCATCCAAAATGGTATTTAGAATGTTTTATTGTTGGCTTATATATACAAAACTATAAAAAGTTATAAATAACCAAGTAAATTACAATACAATGATATGTTAATTTTGAGTACGGTAATTAGAATGGCACTACAGAAACATAAATATATGTTTAATTTTGAGTATGGTAAAACTGTTTTCTAGGACAAACGCGGCTAATTCATGGAAAATGGCGTTTAGAATGTTTTATTTCTGGCTTATGTATACAAAAATAAAAAAAGTTACATATAACCAAGTAAATTACAATATACGTGTGTTGCCATTTTAATGAATAGAAAATGAATCCAAAACATATCCATAAATAAAATCTATAATAAGACCTACTATTTTTTTTAGAGGAATGGTGTTAATCATTTTTTATTTTATTTTTAAGGAAATTGAGTAATCTAACCATTTTTTTTGGGTTTTTTTTTTTTAAAATATAACCAAGTTTTTTTTTTAAAACTAACATTTTGGTCCGGAATGGGTCATTCCGGACCCGAAAACCGGTCCAAGTTCAATATTGTAGCCCAATGGTATATATATCACATACAAAAAATCTGGAATACATCTGAACTTCAGCGTCTCCCCACTCCGCCACCATCACCTTCGTTCATCAAGTTGGAGATGTTCATAGTGACATTTGATTCAAATCCTTTGTGTATCTTACTCAAATCCACCGACAAACTGTGCTTCTTCATCTACATTATCTTCTTCATCTGCTACTCCCTCGGACACAGATCTGGGATGTTCATGGTGGCTAGGGTTTCATGGATGTCATTGTCGGAGATAGACAAAGCCATCCCCGCCTCTACAAACTCTAGCAAACCTAGATCTGGTGACGAACAAATCCACTAGTAGAGAAGATGATGGGTTGTAGGCTGTGATAGAGGGATCAGGGTGGAGAAGATGATGAGTGGTGTTTGGTTGTGTCTGCTGATAGTATATTAGGGTTTGCAGAGCCGCTGCCATTGATTTGGCTGAAAATGGTGGGATTAGGGTTGATTTGGTTTAGAGTATGAGTTCTTCGTGTAGCTGAGATCTCGTTGCTGTTTTTTCCTGTGCTTCCACCTTTACGATGAGCTCGAATTGGTTGTAAATCGATTTTAATGGCGGGTTGAAGCCGATTGGGTTTTCTATTCAGGCTACTGATCTTGCTTACAATCAGATTTCAATGGAGAAACCAAATGTTGTCCAGTGGATCTTGTTAAATGGGTGATGTTTCTTGATCGGTGATGTAACACCCAAAGTTTCAAAGGCCAAGAAAGGAAAGAAAAGCCCTAATTTAAGGGTCGACTCGGGGAGTCTAAGGAAGGACTCGGCGAGTCCGAGCGGGATCCAAGTCAAGGAGTAAGTGACCGACTCGGCGAGTCGGCCAAGGGGACTCGACGAGTCTGGTCTGTGCGGAGAAAACCCTAAAATCGGGACTTAGAGCCTATTTAAACGTCCCATTCTCTCCCTTAGGGTTCCTTTACTGCCCCTTTCACCCAGAACGCCGCACCCTAAGCCCCCATTGTGCTCATTCATGCTTTTGGCCATTTTTGAGTGATTTAAAGGAAGAAGAAGAAGTGGGAATCCTTGAAGCATCAAGGAGTGGCTTTGGATCCGAAGTTTGGGGATCATTTCAGAGCATTTGAAGGTATTAAGTCGTTTCTCTCCTCCAGACTTTCCTTGGTTATGAGTTTTGGGGCTTTTAAGCCATGTTTGAAATCAATCTCGAGCTTGAGGTCCAGATCTGAGGTTGCTACCTCAGATCCATGCTTGTTTTGGTCTATAATTCCATAAAGTATCAGCCTTGAGTGGATCTTGGAGTCTTTTTGCCTTAAGCCCTAGTTTTTGTCATGTTTTGCCTAGATCTCCTTCTCTACACGTAAAGTTTGCAACTTTACGTGTGGAATAGGCTTGGGAATGGTAGATCTACAGTTTGGAGTCCATGCATGACTCTAAAATCCTCTGCATGTAAGGAGAACTGAAGGGACTCAGCGAGTCCTTTGAGTGGACTCGGCGAGTAGCATAAAGTTGTGGAGAAACTCGACGAGTGGGATGAACAACTCGTCGAGTCGTATGAGGATTGCCTCGGACTCGGCGAGTCTGTTCTTGGACTCGGCGAGTCTGTTCTTGGACTCGGCAAGTCAGGTCGCGAAACCCCAAACCCCTCGAGTTGTGACTCGAATCAGTAAGTCAGGTGGAGACTCAGTGAGTTGGACAGGTCTGGACTCAGAAATCGGTAGACTCGGCGAGTCATGGACTGACTCGGCGAGTCGAGTCAGGAATGGAAGGAATCTGAATATTATGAACTCGGCGAGTTAGTAGGGTGACTCGGCGAGTAGGGTTGACCTGGAAGGTTGACTTTGACCAAGACTTTGACTTTAGACCAGGGTGGACTTGGTTGTCTTTCGGGGGTCATTTAGACTCAGTGTTGCATTGATATTGGTAGTTCGGGGAGCAAGGGGAGCAGGAGTTTTGTGAGTTGTCAGGCAGCAACTAGTGAGATCATCAACAAGTTCAGCCAGTGCAGGTGAGTTTCCCTTTGTGTGAATGGTTCTAAGGCCACAATGCCGGCCCATGTAGTTATGAGTAGAAGACCCGGGGGTTAGCCCTAGGCACAGTATGCTAGTATTATTTGCAGGACGAGGTCCAGCAATAGCGGGCGGGTGCCCAAGGAATTGTTTATATATGATAGTTTATACTTGTTGTCTGTGTGATACATGTATGTGCCTGGTGGGGAGGTGAGTGTGGGCGAGGTCCCGTATCTCACTAATAGCAGAGTGTGGATGGGGTTCCATATCTCACTAGTAGCAGATTAGGGGCAAGGCCCGAACTAGAACATGAGTGAGAGTGGGCTAGGCCCGTACCTCACTACCATTAGTAGCGTGGACGGTGTTCCAT